GGGCCTGTTCCCAGGGGGCGGAGCTAACAGCACGGGGGCGGGCCTGTACCCAGGGGCGGAGCTAACAGCACGGGGGCGGGGCTGTACCCAGGAGGGCGGAGCTAACAGCACAGGTTTGGGGCTGTGCCCAGGACGGGGGGCTATCCCCAGGGGATGGGGCTAACCACGGGGGCGGGGCTAATTGCACTGGGGCAGGGCTGTGCCCAGGGTGGGGCCTATCCCCAGGGGGCGGGGCTCTGACCCCGGCGCTGACCCCTCTCTCCCCAGATGGCGGAGCGCCCCCTGCCGGCGCGTGGGGTGGCCCAGGAGATGCACTGCGTCCTGCACTGGTTCTCGGGCTGGGCGCCCCCCCAGCGCCAGCGCTTCCTGCGGGACCTGCTGGCCAAGGCTGTGCCTGGCAAGCTACGCCCCCTGCTGGAGGAGCTGGAGGGGCTGAGCCTCTCCGGGGCGCCCGCCCCGCCCCCCTCCCTCTTCCAGTGCCAGCTGCGCCTCTGGGACCAGTGGTTCCGGGGCTGGAGCGAGCCGGAGCGCAACCACTTCCTGGCCCGGCTGGAGCAGGTCGACCCGGACTTCGCCGCCCACTTCTACTGCCAGCTGGCGGCCACTGCCGGGCAGGAATAGATGGCTGGGGGCTGCCCCCCGGCGCCGTGCCAGGGACCCTCTTCCCAGTCTGCGCTGGGGGGTGAAACCCCCCCACATCTGCTCACCAGCCTCCATTCCGCGGAAGCGGTTTACGTAGGACCTACCGTAAGGTGGCCTGTTTACAGAGCACCTGCAAAACGTCACCAGCAGGGGGCTCTGTGACAACCCCTCCCCCAGTGTGGCTGGATGAGCCTCGATTTCATTGAGGACTTCTGTTTATGTGGGTCCTACAGTAAGTCGGCCTGTTGACGTAGGACCGAGAAGAAGTTGACAGCTGTGGGAAAGGCCTCTCTCAGGATGCACATCGCTGTCCTCAGGTGACAATAAGTGAGTCTGTTTCTGTAGGGCCTACACATCATTGCATCAGCCAGCCAGGTGCCCAGCGGGCGACCCGCTCCGTGCCAGCCTCCAGGCCAGTCACCACGGTGGCATCTGTTGATATAGGCCCTACAATGCTTTCCGCGCCCCATCCGCAGCGTGAGCTACACCAGTAGCCGTTTCTTCATGGGGACTCGTTTACGTAGGACCTACAGGCCCGTCCCGAGTGCCTGGAGCAGCCAGCGGAGGCCCGGGGAGGAGGACTGGGGGGGGGTCACCGAGTTGTTTATAAACAGTGAATGGGTCCAAAAGCACCAACACAGCACCCCGTGTGGTCTGTTCGCAGCGCTGCCATGGGTGGGGGCTGGGAGGCAGGACTCCTGGGTTCTCTCCCAGGCTCTGGGAGGGGAGTGGGGTCTGGTGGTTAGAGCAGAGGGGCTGGGAGCCAGGACTCCTGGGTTCTCTCCCGGCTGTGGGAGGGGAGCACAGACGGTGAGGGTTTCCATGGTTGGGGTGGGGGTGCAGAGGGGGTGGGGGAGGGGAGGTGTAGAGTCAGGGTGGGAGGGGGGAAGGGGGAAGCGGCGTAGAGGGGGGCGCACGGGGAGGGGAGGTGCAGAGTTGGGGTGGGAGGGGGGAAAGGGGGAAGCAGCGTAAAGGGGGGCACACAAGGCGAGGGAGGGGAGCACAGAGGGGGAGGGTTTCCCTCGTTGGGGTGGGGGTGCAGAGAGGGTGGGGGGGAGGTGCAGAGTCGGGGGGGGAAGCGGCGTAGAGGGGGACGCACAGGGCGGGGGAGGGGAGGTGCAGAGTCGGGGGGAAGAGGGAAGCGGTGCAGAGGGGGGCGCACAGGGGAGCACAGAGGGTGAGGGTTTCCCTGGTTGGGGTGGGGGTGCAGAGGGGGTGGGGGAGGGGAGGTGCAGAGTCGGGGTGGGAGGGGGAAGGGGCG